GGCAACATGGTAACTCCCTAGTCCTACCCGAGTGAGTGGTGGGTCATCCTGAAACAATATCTTGCGCTTGTGAGACCTCACTTGGATTACGCAGTTCAGTTCTGGTCACTGTATTACAGAATGGATATAGAATCCTTAGAAAGAATTCGGAGGAGAATGACAAGACTAATCCCGGGCATTAGGAACCTTGAGTACAGAGACAGGTGAAAGCATCTTAATTTGCACTCCCTCGAGAAACGTAGAGTGAGGGGCGATATGATAGAGGTGTTTAAATGGAAGTCAGGGGTAAACAAAGGGGACATTACAAAGGTACTCAAACTATACGACCAGAAGAGAACTCATCATAACAATGGTTTTAAATTAGACAAATTTAGATTTAGGAGCGAAATCGGTAAACATTGGTTTGGAAATAGAGTAGTTGATAAATGGAACAAGTTACCAAACATCATCATTAACTTGAACACGCTGGATAGTTTCAAATATAGGTTGAATGGCTATATGAGCAATAGGGGTTGGGTGTAAATGGGACTGCCCGGTATGGGCCAATAGGCCCGTTGCAGTTTCCTCCATCCTTATGTTCTTACATGTTCACTCTAACACTGCCACATGTTCACTATAACACTACAGTAGGTTCACTATAACACTACCACATGTTCTCTATAACACTACCACATGTTCAGTATAACACTACCACATGTTCTCTATAACACTACCGTATGTTCACTATAACACTACCACATGTTCTCTATAACACTACCGTATGTTCACTATAACACTACCACATGTTCTCTATAACACTAGTACATGTTCAATATAACACTTGTATATGCTCGTTTTAATACAACCACACGTTCATTATAACACTACCACACGTTCACTATAACACTACCACATGTTCACTGTAACCCAAGTACATGTTCTCTATAACACTAGTACAAGTTCACTATAACACTACCACATGTTCACTATATCACTATTACATGTTCTCTATAACACGAGTACATGTTCACTATAACACTTGTATAAGTTCACTATAACACTACCACATGTTCACTATCACACTACCATATGTTCACTATATCACTAGTACATGTTCTCTATAATACTAGTACATGTTCAGTATAACACTACCTAATGTTCTTTATAACACTACCTCATGTTCACTCTAACACTAGTACAATTTCACTATAACACTACCACATGTTCACCTTAGCACTGCTGCATGTTCACTATAACAGTACATCATGTTCACTATAACACTACCTCATGATCACTCTAACATTACCTCATGTTCACTATAACACTAGTACAACTTCACTATAACACTATGTTCACTATTACACCACCACATGTTCACTATAACACTCCTACATGCTCACTATAACAATACCACATGTTCACTATAACATTACCAGATGTTCCCTACCACATGTTCACTATAACAATTTCACTAGAACACTTGTATGTGTTGTATAGTCATTTATAATTTTGAAAATAATTTCCAATCAGGAATTTGCCAATATTAAGAATATCTAGATCGAGTACGGTGTGAAGCCACAGCCAGAGGAAACGAAAAACAGGACTCCCGTCACTTATCCAGTCTGTGATACACACTCTCCAGGGTGTAGTGAGCGTGAATCCTTCAACAACCAGTCCACCCCTTACAGCACAGTAAAACCCCTCCCCTCCACAGAGCAGGACGATTATCACAAATTTGACAAATATGGTCATTTTATAAAAAAAATATTCCCCCAGAGGTGACCGACCAGAAGATGCGATCTCTCTTTGGTACTTACGGAGGTCTGGTTCATTTCTACAAGCCCCGTGACCACCAGACCACCAGGAGTGTGTGTGTAAATTATAAACTGACGTCTGCAATATGTGCTTGTGTTCCTGGCTGTTAGTTTTACATGTGTTCAAGAACACTTTCTAACGAAGTAGTGGTCATGACATACACACATACAGGAAGTCAATCAGTGTAAAAAAAAAGACTCGCCATTATTTGTTTGTCATCCTAACTTTGTGTTTGTGGTGGTCTTGTAGGACACTCACTTATGTTCACATAAGCTATACAGAATGAAGTGTAGAGACCTGATGTGGGATGAAGACGTTTGGTGGTGATGTAGACCTGTAACTGTAAGGCCCGTGAGGAGTGGGACTTGCCAGTAAACCGCCCCACTTAAAAGTAATATTCTTGAAATTAGTTAGAGTCCCGTTATGACCAGCACGATGTGGAGATTGTACATAATTAATGTCCACGTTTTGTTCACGTATTACATAAAAGTGGGAAATTTATACATGACACTTGTGTGTATGTACAGGGAGTATTACACAGTATTCATTTACAAATTGTACAAAATAATAGGCTGGCCCCATGATCTATTACTGAAGAGATCCCAGTGTGAGCCGCTCTAGACCTGAGGCGGGCTCAGTGTTAGGCGAACTCGTAACGAGATGTTTAGTGTTAGGTGTCTACTCTATGGGTTCCAGCTCAAAACTGACTAGGGGCTTTGTATAACAACGCCCTCAGACAGTAATTCCTACACTCGCCACTTGAGTGATCCAGGAGTCAAGCTTCTAGAAGGTTCTCGAAGGAGGAAATAGTCACAACTACTCAACAAGCCTGTGTGTGTGTGTGTGACACATGTGTTGGGGTGTGTTGGTATGAGGGCCTGAGCTGCCACCATTCATGAGGGCCTCTGCTGCCACCATTTATGAGGGCCTGAGCTGCCACCATTTATGAGGGCCTCTGTGTGCCAGTAACAATTCCTTGTACCCTCATACTTATTACCATTGGTAGCGTGACGAGAGGAGGCTCGTGGGTATCGTGGGTAGATGTAATGATAGTATCAAGCAATAGGGAAGAAATAACGGTAAATACTGTAGGTAAATAATAGACACAATTATACAAATACAAAATTTATTTAAACATTAATAGGAAATTATGAGAAAGAATTTATTTGTACCAACAGACGAAATCTAGTGCTAGGCCCTCAGGCTCAACATACTCATACCATTACTGGGTGGACCTAATAACACTTCCAACCCTACTGGGTGGACATACTCAATACACATAACTCTTATAGTCACTTAGCACCATAAAGACCAGGGCAACTGCCACTACAACACTCAGTCGTCAGGAGTGATACTCAAGCAACAGCCATGGGGTCCAGCCACCATGGAGTACTTTCCGACGAACTCTGAAGATCCCAGTGGATTAATTCCACCACACAAATAGCCCTACTGAGTTAGACACTCATCCACCAATGATGGGGGCTGGTAGTGGTGTGTGGCTTGGTGATCCGGGGTCACCTCGCAGGCCGAGCGTTAGGGCCAGACGAGCCAGCTATGGGGGCTATAGGTAGTCTGAAGTGTCTGACGGCCGGGTCTCACGAAGGTAACTGATCCTACTGGACCTCGGATATCTCCCCAGACATAGTGGATACAACATCCACGCTACAGACACGGCCTAGGCTGCGTTAGGGACCTGTATGGATGAAGGGACGGGCACTCACTAACGGTAGAAATGCCCGCGGGGCCCTCACTCAAAACAGACCAGGAGTCCACCTACTTCTATTCCGATGAATTAATTTACTGTACACTCTGACGTTGAAACTGAGACTATGAACTCAGTTTCATTCCCTACTATTATCTTCACTAAAAATGCTCTGACTTGGCTATCAAAAGCAAAATTAAATTGATTACAAAGGGTTGGATGGCAACAGGTCCCAGCATACAGCGTCTGCTACTAAATCCGTGGATTATATTCAAAGTTCCCTTAAGACAAAGACGGGGAAACAAGAGAAAACGGGGGACGTTTCCACTGGGGGACTCAGAAGGTTTTGTGGACGTTTGAGCATAATATGAATCCTTAAGGTTTTCAGGTTAGCCGTTATCACGATCATTACAGCAAGAGGTTGGAACAAACGGAATATCTTTGCAACTAAGAGATTATCAAAGTTTTGAATTACCAGCTGATTTGACTGGGAAATTGTAGAGGTTTGACGACTTATATCAAAGATGATATTCCAGCATCTTTTCATTCCGCTCTAAAAATAAACGGTACCGAGTATTTGTGTGTTAGTATTACGCTTCAAGATGCTACACTGTTCATTATTAATGCTTATGTGCATGCTGATTCATTGACAGTTGAAGATCTGCCGGACATTATTTTTGCTGATGATTGTTTACTAAAGCCCCGTCCACACTATCGGACAGTGACTGGCGGACTGTGCCCTCATCGGGCACAGTCTGTCGGGCATGACTTTGATGTCCACACTGCTGAGTAGGTGGTCAGGCAGTAAAGTCCGGCAATAGCCAGTAGGTGGTCGGCAGCCCCTGAGTGCGGAATCACCATGTGCAACACAGTTGGAAAGAAGAAAATAGCGTTGTGTAGCATATTAATTGCTGTATTTGTAAAAAAAAGATAAGGACAGAGTGCAGAAAACGATCTGGTGTAAAGAGTGGTTAAGTAGGAGAGAAGTATTGGGAAGTCATATGACGATACTACGTGAACTACAAGATGGAAGTGAGCGTGATTTCACCAACTACATGAGAATGGATATCAACGCCCTTTACACACTCCTAGCTAAAGTGGAACCATACATAGCAAAGGAAGATACCCATCTGAGGCAGAGCATACCAGCAGCAGCCCGTCTCGAAGCAACGCTCACTGCAGTATACCACGAGGATATCGAAGCAGAGTTTGTCATTCATAATACCAGAAACATGTGAAGCTATATATGCAGTACTCAAGGAAGATTACTTACCTCATGATCAGAACATAACTCCGTAGCCACATCTTCAGTCGTGTGATTGGTACCGGCAACCAGGTTTGACACAGATGCTTTGATTGTGTCACTGTCATTCAGAAATGACAGGTCATTAAAGCACCATAATTTTGGCCTGTAAATTTCGTCTGTCCCAGCTCCTGACTTCTGTGATTTATGTACCAGTTTCATTTCACGTCTATGTTGATTTCGTAGTGTCTCTATTTTCCGCTTTATATCCCTTGTGGTAATGGAGGCAGTAATCTTCCTTATCTCCTCTGCAATTCCCTTGAGTGCTGCTGCACGTTTGTCTCTATCTTTGTACATGTCACTTTTAACATTCCATAGGCAAGGGTAATGGCGATAAAGGTCAATTAACCGTACTGTATCTTGTCTGGACCAGTGGAGGTTTGCAGGTTCTGTGGTGCACGTGGACGGAGGGCTAGACATGATGACGAGGTAAACCGAGCAACCACCACCTGTGGCTCATGGTGAGACCGTGAGAGACTGACAGCCAGGTGTAACTTTTTGTGGCTGGCAGCGTCGTCGGTCCATGCCTGGCTCCAAACTGCTGGGCAGTCTGCAGATTTCGCTCAACTACGGGCACGGGCTGTCCGCTGGTTTGCCCGTCAAAGTTGCCACAAAGTGTGCTATGACAGACTTATCACTTGTGCCCGACGGTCACTGTCCGATGGGGATGGCCCAATTCAGCGCCGCCGTTTCAGCGCCGCCGTTTCAGCGCCAGCCCATTTCAGTTCCGAGACCTTTCAGCGCCTGTGCGTTCCGTTCAACTCGGAAACTATCTGTCTTTCATTAACGTGGTATAATACTGTATACTGCACTAGATTTATATTATGTTGTATTCAACTTATTAATATTTGGTGTTATGAATGAGAAAGAGAGAGAGAAAGAGAGAGTGAGAGTGAGAGTGAGAGTGATAGATAATTTGGTTTTGCTACGTCTGTCTAGTTGAATCTATAATTTTATTATGGTTTATTATTTAACCAAACTAATTTTCATCAATGATATTGCACCTATGTTTGTGACGTAATATCAATTACAGGATATTATCATGCACCAACTCCTCATTAGCCATAACAGGTGTCTTTGCTGTATAACCGTTGGACGTGGGGATGGGGAGGGGTGGTAGTAAACATGGTGCAAACAGTTTCCTCATTAACGACAACATGACGTTTAGCATTTATAGAGAGTAATCGGTCGCCTTAAAAGAACGGAACAAGGAGAAGATAGAACCAATAACCATGCTGAAGCTGCAAACAGACGACTACGAGGCGAACTGGGAATGTTGCATCCAACCATATGGAACTTCATCTATGCTCTTAAACGAGTCCAAAAAGGACGGGATGAATATTTCGAGAAGCTTTCAGCTGGGCACGAACCTCAACCCAAATTACTGAAATACAGAAAAGCAGATGAAAGAATTTTAAAAATTGTTTCTGAATATGGGAAGAGAAATGAAGTAGAATACCTGCGTGCATTTGCGCACAATTTTTCACACTAAAAATAAACCTAACTCTTTCTTTTAAACGATTTTAAATATATTTGTTTAATAATTTGTAATTAAATAAACCAATATCATAAATATGGATGATTCTTTGAATAAATTATTGATTTGGTGGCGCTGAAACGGTGGTGCTGAATAGTCTGGCGCTGAAATGAGCTGGCGCTGAAACGGCGGTGCTGAAACATCGGCGCTGGAATGGTGTCCGATAGCGTGGACGGGGCTAAATTGGTGATTTGAACGCTAGGCATAACAATCTTGGCAGTAGACGTTTCTCAAAATCACAATGGAATGGTTCTGAAAAATATCTTAGACTCTATAGAAGATGCTAAAGTCCTTGGAGCTGGTGAGCCGACACATGTTAAAGGGGGTAGACTTGATTATGAAATTCCTTTTAATATGTTAGATGCGCATGCAAATTTGGATATTGTGGATACGCTTTTGAGTGATCACTTTGCAATTAAAGTGAAGCTTCATTTGAACAAAATCTTTTATGTTAACAATAGGAAAAGGTATACAATAACAGTTGGTCAACATAGTGAATTTGTAGCAAAAGTCGGCGAGTGGTATAAAGAGTACAAAAAGCTTGGAATTAAAGATGAAAACATATTTTATAATGATTTGTTAGGAGTAATTGATTCAATTTTGAATAAGCCAAGGAAACAGTATGGAAATACCTCAAAACCTAAGCCTAGATATTAAAGTGATAAGATTGTAAAGGGGTGGAATAAGTTCCTGAGGAAATGTCATAGTAAGCGGAGTAAAGATCCTAGCAATGAAAAAAAAACGGGAACTGATTGAAGTGGCAGAGTGCACAATAGAGGTAAATCAGAAAGCCAGAAGTATGTATTGGAGTGGTTTTTTGAGAGAGATCGCTCAATCAAATCTTTGAATCAGGTTTGGGATGGTGTGAATAGGGTAAGAGGAGTCAAGAAGAAATTTAATGTCCATCCCAATCCAAACGCCAAAGCTAATGAACTGATGAATAAGTGGGCGTATGCATCTAATTATGAGTGTCTCCCAAGTAATGTTCAGATTTGCTTGAGGAATTCAAGATCTATGAGGCAAAGGTTGGTGAATATCCAAAGTACTATAAGGGATGGTCTAACTTATGATGTTATCAATTATCTTATAAGTATGGAGGACAACCCAATTCTAGATCTCTTTAATTTGTCACATGAAAATGGAAGACTGCCAGTGAAATGGAAAATGGCTCTCATTGTTCCTGTACCTAAGGGCGATAATGATAATAGACCCATATCCTTAACATCTTGTCTATCTAAAATGATGGAGTGAATGGTATTAAATAGATTATTGCATAAAATTGATGGTCTCTTGTCTAGTAATTTGTTTGGATTTTTAAAGGGTAAAAGCACTACAGATTGTGTGATTAAATGTCTTAGTAATGCTAATGTCAACTGTAGACTGTTTGTAGACCTTAAAAGTGCCTTTGATAAAGCAAGTAAGGAAGTGATCTTAGAAAGTCTTGTAAGTAAAGGTATAAAAGTGAAATTATTGATGTGCATTACAGATTACTTAACTAACAGAAAAGCGAGTGTCTGGTTTCAAGGTCATGAATCGGAAGAAAAAATTCTAGGGTTAGGTACCCCACAAGGTGGCGTTCTATAGCCCTATGCTTTTTGATATTCTTCTGGACAGAATAGCTAGTTACAAATTCCAGGGCGAGTCCCGAGTAATCATTTATGCTGATGACATTCTGATCCAATGTAAGAATGAGGAAGATATGTCTAGGGTCATTGATCAGCTGCAGTATCTTTGTGTCTCTTTGGGACTGGTCATTAATGAAAATAAAACCAAATTTCAGTCAAGGGCAGTAAATAGAAAATAATTTTGGCTATGTGGAATAAAATTGCAAAAATTATCCAGTTACAAATATCTGGGAATGTTTGTGGGTATAAATAATAATGTTAAGGATCAAATTACTTTTGTCAAAAATATATGTACAACTAGGCTAAAACCTCTGAAAGTTTTGCCAAATAGAGGAAATGGTGTTGGTATTCCAGTTTTAAGATCTATGTACTTAAGTGCAGTTAGGAGTATCATTGATTATTCAGCTCCAGTTCTAGCTTCTTACTCAGGAAAAGATCTTAGGCCATTAGAGCTTATTCAGAATGAAGCAATGAGGATTGTGCTTGGTTGTCCAAGGACAACAAGAATAGAGATTATGAGGATGGAACTAAATGTCCCGAGCATAATACACAGAATTAGGGAGTTGACTGTCATCTCTACTCTTAAGCTTATTAGGCGCTGTGATGGGTATCTGAAGTCTGCTGTTGATAAATTTACTAATGCAATTACTAGTAATTTTAAGATGAATACTTATACTAAAAAACTTTGTCAGATGTTGTGTGAATATAATATTGTAGATTTTTGTGTGCCTTTGCCAAACAAAGTTTATTTGAAACCTTGGTTCATGGAAAGTGTATCTGTAAGAATGGATAAGCTAGAGTTTTAAAAAAAATTTAATCCTTTTGAGTTACGGCAAATATTTCTTGAGAAAATATCTGAGAACCATAAGGAAAATGTTATTTACATGTACTGTGATGGTTCAGTTAATGTGAATAGTGCCGGATGTGGCATTGTTATTAGGGAATTTTTTTAATATGGCATGTGTTGAAGAAAGAATATCAAAGAGAATTGGGGATAGAAGTTCCAGCACCACTACTGAACTTAAGAATGCCTTTGTGAGGAAAAGAACAGTTTTTGGGTTAGTTGACAGTCAAAGCGCTCTATTTGCTCTAAATTCTAAAGTGGCTCTTGATGATGATTTAGTTTTAAAATATAAGAAGTGTATTCATGACATAACATCACTTGGATATGATGTAAGTTTTATGTGGATTCCATCCCATTGTGGTATTTATATGAATAAGGTTGCTGATGATTCGGCTAAGCAAAGGTGTGGCAAAGAATTTGTAGAATACGATTGTATTCTGCGTATTAAAAGAATAAAATCGGGAATGGTAAAAATCCGACAGCAATGGGAAATGGACAATATTAAAAAAATTTGACGGTAGTAGTAGTTTGAAACATTATGTTCGAGTTTTTAATCCTACAAGTTCTACTTATGGTAAGGCTTCGGTTAATTATGATATATTTGTGATGAGATTACTGGGACACCTTGTCCCAGTTGGCACCAGTCACCATATAGTGTTGTCATTCAGAATTAACTGTTACCTAGTTCAAGATAAGGCCACGCCAAGGTGCAAAAATTACAAGGGAAATTACAACGGGATGAGGGAAGAGATGAGGGGTATCCACTGGCCTGGCTCATCAAGGCACAAGAACGTAGACACTACGCTGAGTATCATAACTAATAAAGTGGCCCATTTGATATATAAATATATACCCAAGACCAAACCCAGTGTCTCTAGGAATACGAGGGGATCCCTACACATGAACCATGCGGCGGTCGACAAAGTTAAGAAGGAAACCCAGAAATTCAAGACGTGGATTGGGTCAAACGATGAGCAGGACAGGAGGATGTATGCAAGAGCCAGAAACCAAGCAAAGATAGAGTGTAGAAGGGCTGAAAAGGAGTTCCAGAGGCTGGTTGCAAGCGAGGTCAAGTCAAACCCAAAGGCGCTTTACCGCTATGCAAAGTCGAGATTAAAAACGCGAGTAGGAGTATCAGACCTGAGGCTTGAAGATGGTAGTTACGCAGATTCTGACCAGGATAAAGCTGAGGCATTGAACAGCGTCTTTTCCTCGTTGTTCACAAGAGAGGATGCGATTAACCTTCCTGCGTTTGAGTTCAGACGGTTCGACACAGCACTGACCCACATTGTGTTCACAGAAGAGGGTATTAGAAATAAACTGTCAAAGCTAAAGGTCCATAAGAGTCCCGGCCCTAACATGGTGCATCCTAGAGTGATAAGAGAGTTGTGCAATGAGCTTGCCGAGCCCCTGA